ATGTTCTGGACCTATTGGATGAGACGAGTTTAGCTGAAGCAAAACCTAGTGATGCCCCTATGATACCAAATATGAAACTCGGAGCAGAAGATGGAAATGTGTTTATCGATGCAAACAAGTACAGAAGGGTAGTGGGAAAGTTAAACTATCTTACAATTACTTGGCCAGATATTGTGTTTTCCGTAAGTGTTGTTAGTCAGTTTATGTCATCTCCTAGAACTTCACATTGGGATGCCGTAACTCATATAAGGTATCTCAAAGGAGCTCCAGGACGTGGACTTCTTTAAAGAGACCGGGGTCATTGTAGGGTTGAGGGTTTTTTAGATGCTGACTGGGCAGGTTCTCTCATGGATAGGCGCTCTACTTTAGGGTATTGTGTTTTCGTTGTAGGTGATCTAGTCTCTTGAAAAAGTAAGAAACGGAGTGTTGTGGCTCAATCAAGTGCAGAATCTAAATATCCGTCTATAACACAGGTGACTTGTAAACTTATGTGGCTGCATCACTTACTTGGAGAAATTGACATTGATACGTCTCACTCTATGAACTTGTGGTGTGATAATCAAGCAGCTATTCACAATGCCACTAATCCAGTATTTCATGAGAGAACAAAGCATATAGAGGCAGATTGTCACTTTGTTCGTGAAAAACTACAATAAGGATTGATTTCGACTAAGCATGTCAAGATAGGAGATCAATTAGCTGATGTGTTCACTATAGCCTTAGCCGGAACTCGAGTAAATTATATTTGTAACAAGTTGGGCATGATTGATATCTATGCTCCAACTTGAAGGGAGTGTTATGAAATTATGCATCAGTTTAGATATAAATTTAGTCTTTACATATACAACACATTTATATATGGTAGGTGCATAAGTTTAGAATGATTTCTTATTTTGATAGGATTGTTTTCTTATGAGAAACATCCTCGCTATGTGTATACATATGTAACACACGTTTATGAATTGTGTAAAAGAATAAGTTATTCTTCTAAAATCAACAGCCTTGAACCATTTTTAAGAGTTGGATTGTTGTGTCGCTTCTAATTGCATCAACAGAAATTAGTGTAACTCAGGTACTCTAACTCACACAACAAACAGTCAGATTTGAGGCATACAAATAAAGGGCCTGACTTTTAGGATTACAAATCTCCCTGATAGATCATTTTCTTGGAATGCATATCAAAAATGGTTGTTATTCACTTTCGCCACACATTGCTCAGGAGCATCTCAAATTTCCTAGCGAAAATTTGACGAAACAGCAGATTCAACAATTTCTTGCTGTAGTAAACTACTACCAAACATATCCGAACAAGCAAAATAAAAAGGTGCACAAACGCAACAACTAGTAAACCAATGCTAGAGACTTAAAATTAATTAAAACATTGGATACAAAGAAAGCATGATTTTATACATGTGTTTTGATCCGTCTCATTATGCTATCGTCCTATGGTTTAAGGTCTTCAAAAATCTTCCTATTTTTTGCCATCCAAATGCAGTAGATTGTGCTTGCAAGAGCAATATGAAAAGGGTGCTCAACAAAGAACATGCGTATAAGTTGACATTATTATTCTCACCTAACATGTTGGACGCTTTGTTGCAACAAAATTTGTAATATTTCTTGATAATTTTCGATTTATGTTTCTTAAAGACCAATTAAAAGATGTTTTAAATGATTTTAAAAATTTGCTTTTATAAATATAGAATAATTCTACATGTACATTATGGTATGTAATTTTATGATTGGAGGGTTGAAAAAACTACTTTTCAACTCTCCAATGATATTATGTCACTTGTACATTATAAATACCCTTATAGATACCACAATATACATTTAGCATAACCCATAAATATATATCTATGACAATATATTAAATATCATATCAAGTGAGAATTATTTTGGGACGATTTTAATCCTACTATAATTCAATCATTTCAATAATACTTTACTTTTCGCTTTTCAATATGCCATAAAATAATACAAAATTCTTGTTATGTATGAATTTCACGTTATTAATTTTCAATTACTTAACATTCACATTAATATAGACTAAATGAATTTTTACTTGATCAATCTTGATCTACATGAATTTAGAGTTATTATAGATGAATTTATTTCTATTCACGTATCTAAAAATTTTAATGAATGTTTAAATTCATATATTATAAATTAATTCTCATGTATCAAATGTAGTATAAAAGGTAAGGTTGCTCATTTATAACATTTCATCATCATCACAAAAAAACTTGAATCATAAAAGTTGCGTTTTGAGAATACAATTTTTTTCTCTTAAATTTTTATCCTAGATTTTATTTTCTTTAGTTTGTTCGTGACTCATCAAATCCTTGAAACAAATTGGTATAAAATATTATTTTTACAGCACTTCTAAAATATTTTAGAAAAATGTGCAATACATGTGCGACCCTAACTAGTATATATAAAATTCAATAATTTACATGATTAGCGCCCAAAATACTCTCCAATTTTAGGCTACAATTCAACGCATAAATTGACAGCCACTTTATTGGGTGCCACATTTAATCTCACTAGTCAAAGTTGAACGTGCATTGCACGTTATTCTAAAATACTTTATAAGTGATGTAAAAGTAATATTTTGTACCTATTTGTTGACGGATTTGATGAATCTTGAACGAATTAAAGAAAATAAAATTTAATATAGAAATTTAAGAGAAAATTGTACTTAAATTTTACTATAAAAACTCAATTTTATTATTCAAATTTTTTGTAATGATGAATACTATAAATGATCAATTATTTATATTATATTTGATACATAAAAAAATTAATTGTTAATTCATAAATTTAAATACCCATTAAAATTTCTAGATATATGAATATGAATAAATTTGTCTGTAATAACTATAAATTCATGTAATTCAAGATTCATCAAGTGAAAATTTATTGAATTTAGGTTAATGTGAATTTAATTAATTGAAAATTAATAACATAAATTTCATAAATGACAATAATTATATAGTATTTATTACATATCGAAAAAAATGAATAGTATGAGGGTTAAAATCATCCAAAAATGATTATCCCATGATGTGATAATTTAATATATTATAGATTATACATGATGGTAAAGTTTGACTAATAGTTAGAAGAACAATTCTACAAGTACATCATTTTTTACACCTTTTTTCACAGCACACACACATGCAAGTGGTTGGGGTCCACGATTAAAATAATCGTGGACCTCAACTTTGTGAGGAAGTGTGAAAATTGCTGTAAAAAAATGATGTACAAACAGCATTTTTGTAGTTAGAAATAAGTTACTGTGTAATCGTGGACCCCAACTTTGTAAGGAAGTGTGAAAATTGCTGTAAAAAAAAAAAAGTACAAACAGCATTTTTGTAGTTAGAAATAACTTAGTCTACGTGTACACAAATAAGTTTGCTTTGAATTAAATAGTTTTTTATTGGTCGAATAAATTACTTATTTAAAAATACTATGTACTTTACTACCAAAATAAATAATTTTTATATATAGAAAAAAAATGATATATTTATTTAATACAAAATATATTTTAAAAGTAAGATTTGGGGTTAATTTCATTTTTAATTTCCGAACTTTCAATGAAATTTCGATTAGCTCACCCATCTTAAATTTGTCGTAACAAGATTGCTGAACTTCAACTTATTTTCGATATAAGTCATTCTGCTAGCCCTCGTTTTTAAGTAAATACATCATTTCATGTTGTGATTTTAGATCTTAAAATTAAAATGAAAAGAGTATTGAGTATACTTAGTTGAGCAAATTATCGTTGATTTTCAAACAGGATATATTTTCAAAATTTTACGATCACGACATAGCTAGGTGGCATATTTTAATTTTTAAAAGGCATAACACATCAAATTGCTATTGCTAGAACTGTAAATGGATCAAATATGTATCGAATCTACCTATATTCGATGGATAAGAATAATTATTTGTTCCGATAAATTCAACGGATATTTGATTGCTAAATCTATATCCAATTTACTATCTTATCAAATACCCGATCCGAAATTGAAGAAATTACGAAAATAAAAAAATTTATATTAGTTAACTTCTATATTCTATAACTAAGCACATTGTTACATGTATATCAAGATTTACATAATGTCATATATCACTCTATCATTTTCTAGTTTAAAATACATCATATTATGTAATCCATTATGTACATTTTTTATATACAAATAGAAAATTCCTAAAATTAATAGAAAAATTCTAGTTGTACATAATTATTGCACATAATAGTGTCCATAATGTGATGTAGCAATCATCCAATTATTGATATGCATGTGTGAGATTTGAATTAATAATTGGATCGAGTGCCACGTGTAATTATGTATACCATTATGTAAATAATTATGTACATGTAGCACTTCTCTAATTAATAAGTTCAGATAACTTTTTACCCAATTTTTTTGGTCTACCTACTTATAGATTAAAAATCTCATGATATTCTAATGAGTATCCAATGTGAAAAGTGGGAAACTGAAAATAACGAAAGCAACTCCAATTGTTCTCCCCTTTTGTTATTTAATTTATAAAATAAATAAATTATTTTTATTTTTATTTTAATTAATAAAAATAAAAAAATCTCAAATATTTCATTACTATTTGTTGTTTGAAAATTTATGTGTAAAATATAATGCAAGTTTGAAAATGAAAAAAAATTATGTGTTGTAATTATGTGATAATATATAAAATATTATATTATTATAATAAATCAGATCGGGTTAATCTACATCCATATTTGATTCATTTAATTAACGAATTTTCGGATTCGGATCTTGATCAGGTTATTGAACTGAGATCATAAGTTCATCTCTCATAAATTTTATCGACTTCAGATCAAAATCCAATTCATTCACAATCATAGCTATTGCTTTACACGGGGAGTGTCGTGTTTTAGTAAGGGGAAATTGTTAGGAGCCATTGGGCCAATTATCTGGGCGTCGATCCTCTTACAATCTCCATAAAGAGACCAATAGGCCCATTTCTTAAACGTTACAACTCAGGTAAAATATAATTTAATTCTATTTATGCTTTAAAGAAAAGTAAATAAATTTCAAAGAAACGCTGTAATCAAAAAAAGAAAAATACAGGGAGATGAAGAAACCGGGCGGCGGCGGAGGTGCGGCCGTCGATAAGAAGCGCAGTAGGCGTTCATACGGAGAGTCCAGCACTGAGACCCCTCCTAGGGTTGGTTAATTAATGTTTTACTAATTAAATATGTACGCATAGAAAGAAATATAAAAGTTTTAATTTTTGCATTTTTGGTCTTTATAATGTGCTTTATCACTGAATTTTGGCTTTTTCCTGATTTTTTGTTACATTTCCATGGAAGATCTGACCCCAATTTTAAAAGCCCCGATGTAAAGATTTTGTCATTCTACATTTGTTGATCTTTTTAATTTTTTATACATGATGCTTAAGATATTGGGTAGTTCCCGAGTAATTCCTATAATTGTAATTTAGCTAATTTTTCCCTTCTTAATATCATAAAAGCAATGCAACCTATAAAGGACTCATTTTTGTAATGATTTAATTAAATTTCCCAATTTTAATCAATTCATTAAACCAAATAAAGGGTTACTTGGGTTTTCTAGATGGTGGGATAGTAGCCCTTTCTAGTTTCTAGGATCATTTTTTTTTTTTTTGTGTGTGTGTCATTTTCTATCTTTCTGAAGAAAGGTGTTATTATATTTTAATAACGATCACAGTTTCTTTTGTTCCTTCTTATGTAGATTGCATGATAGTTTTTTCACTTTTAAATAGAAATACCCTAAAATTATACTTGTTTTTGGACTAGTCAAAATCCACAGGAGACGGTGTAATAGGACTCTCACTTTTCTCGAGTGTCACCCTTTACTGTTGTGTCCTTGCTACTTTTACATGCTATAGAACAAATGTGATTAATTTTAAACCAAAGGTAAGTCTGACCGTGCTTGGGGACTGTTAACATGTACTTTAAAGATGAAGTCCTTACTTTTCCCACAATTATCAGAACCAGAAGTTTAAGGTGTATTTCCTTAATTGCCCCTACTTTTGATTTTTGGTTAAGCATAAGTTTCAAGGCGCATGCTACTTGCATCTTTTTCATGTACAAAAATTCTTTATCCTTCTAGTTATTCCTTATTATGGTGATCCAATATGCATCTCATTTAAAATTAACCTTTTCCCTTTCCAAATTTCAATTGCTGAAAAGTTCTACGTATACTTTGAAGTGCATGAAAAATCTCTCATAAGCTGATTTAAATGTTGGATTACTTAATTACACAGAGTTATATTTATGTCTCATAAAATAGGTTGTGGATAAAATGAGTGAGTCAATGGAATGGACTCTCAAAAGTTTATTTCATTACATACCTAGAGATGGTTGAATCACATGTGTTTGCTGGGAAATATTTTTCTTTTTCTCTTTTTCTTTGTAAGTAAGAATCTCGGGAAACTGGTTGATCAAGGAAAATAATAGATATGCACATTTCCCCATAGGATCTTGGAAAAATCGAAAATAATTGAAAATTGTCACTCATCTCATTTTGCAGAAAAGCTATTTACAAGAAGTGTAATTGTTTGTTTTTCTTAAATTTCTGATGGTTTTATGTATCTAAAATCTAACCCAATGCCCTCTTCTATATTCCAGAAGCAAGCTGCAAAAAAGGACGTGTTTCAGATTTTTGCTGAGAAAGTAAGAGATCATAAGAATCTGGAGTCTAGATGGGCTGTCTTACAAGAGACAAGAGTGGAATATTTTAGAGGAAAAGATTTTGTTAGCTTTCTGAGAAATCATCCAGATCTCAAAAACATACTTGAATCAGACAGGAACTTAGAAATTGAAGATATAGGAGACATTCTGCTGCGAAAAAATCTTATAGTGCGGTGTGATCGTGTTGTCAAAACTCTTCGGCCTGGGAAGAAAAAGTTGTCTACATGGCCTGCACATTTGGAGTTATTCTCGGTGAGTTCCTAAAACAATTTGTTTGCAAAGTCAACCTGAAAGGTGTTCTTTATTTATTTATTTTTCCTGGGGGGGTAGGGGTGGCAGCTTTTGAACTTTGTGTGGTTGGTTATAGTGTGGGATGATCTAATAACAAGAACAAGTTAGCATTTCTTTAAAATTAGAGTTTGCTACATGAGTCCTTTATGTTGTGAAACACAATTCAAGCTAGCTCAATATGAATAAAATCAAATGGTTTGGAAACCACAACAGGGCTTGGTGTTGCACAGCTAACTTACGAAATTTTCGAGTCCACATGTAATATGTTATCCCACTTCAGCCTAGTAATTATTATTCAGTTTCTTGATCCTGTTAAATGAATTTTTACTTCTTTATCTCTTATTTGTTGATGCTTTGCAGGAGCAAGTTTTTTCTGATAATGATGCCTTCTTTGCTTGGACATTTGTGAACCGATGGCCGTTGTGGCAAACACTTCTCTCATTTTTCTGGCCTGTTTTGACCATTGCAATCTGCTTGTTTCCTGTATATCCCCACCGCTGCAAGCTATTTATTCTCTACTTCTGTGCGGGTTTACTGCTGCTTATACTTACCCTGCTTCTCTGTAAGTTCTTTAGTGCTGATATCTAGTTTAACTTAACTCCATTTGTTTCTTGCAATTCCTCTCGTGCTTGGTGTGTGTGATGATACTGTTTCCATTGTTTGCGGGCATGCAGTATTATAATGGGCTGAAAAAATAGTATTGAGAGACAGTTTAACCGAGATATCGTTTTTGCAAAACGTGCTCCTAGTATTCTGTGTAGGAGTTTGTAGGAATAGCTCTTTCTAGTCTAGGTGAAGAGTATAGAAATAATTAATTTGTTACTTTATATGTTTAATTTGTTTGGATGCTAGAGAAGGGACAACTATGTACTTTACAATATGGCTAACCATCTATATAGATACAATACAGTGAACAACAGTTGTTATAAAATATTTATGCAATATAAATAAAGTTACAACAAAGGAGACATAAAGAATTTATAGTGAAAAAGAGTTTAATTGTGAATATGAACTCAGGTTTATCCCTTTTTTCCGTGTTGCCTTGTTATTGCCAATCCCCTAGGCAGGCCTTTTTCACTACTCACATATATGCGCCACTCTGTTCTCCGCTGCAGCCGAATGCATATACTGTTTCATATTCTATTAATTGAAAAAATCATTTTAAGCTGTAACAATCTGTGTCCAAGAATTTGCTGATTTTTCTTATCAATTGATGTTAGCAAGGAATATAAAATGGTGATTTGCCATTTAAGAGAGCATCGAGTTCTTTGTTTCTGAGTATTGAAGTGTATTTTTTTTTTTTTTAAAGTTTTCTTTTCCCTGCATAGCCGAGTTTCACTCTTCTATTATTATCGTGAAGAATTTGTTTGATAAATATTTATATATAGTTAATTTTGATAGATATTTAGCTCATTTGGCAATCCATTCTCTTTGTGTCTCGTGGTGATTGACGTGAAATATATTTATTCATTTTTATATGAAATAGCTGCTTCCGAATCAAATTTCTTATGCTGATTCTTTTCCTGCAGTAAGAGCCTTTGTCTTCGGATCTCTATGGATACTTCTTGGAAAGCGTGTCTGGATTTTCCCGAACATTCTTGCAGAGGAAGCAACACTCAAGGAATTATTCCAGTTTTGGCCCAAGAAGGATGAGGATGAGCGTCCGAAGTGGACGGCTAGGCTATTTTATACAATAGTAGCCGTGGTGGTCATTTTACTTCTGAGGCACCATGCTCCTGATGAAGCCGCTAGAGCCAGGTATGTGTGTCTATATTAAAATTTTTCCCACCTGCAACCCAAAGCAAAGAAGGAAATTAAATGAAAGATGAAGTGAAAGTGCTTGTAAATGTAAGAGAGGTAAATGTTGATTATATCTTCATTTTTTTTAATTAATTAAATTATTTTGCTGCTTCTTTCTCTCTCTTCTTTCTGTCTTCATGTACGCTAAACTATAAATATACTGCCAAAAATCAATTTCTTATATTCTTCACCTCCCCTTGCTCCCCTCCGAAATCATCTAGTTTGTCGAAGGGGATGAACAAAATGCTAATCTTGGAGGGAATTTTTTTAGTAGGTGAATTTGGTTTGTGGAATTTGTCTAATGAAGGTAGGCCTTTTTGTAGAAAATTTTGCAACCAGTCTTCATTTCGTTTCCTCTCACTACTTTTGCCATCCATAGGAAAATTCCATTAATCTTTTTCTCTCTGTGTCACAGAGGTTACAATTCCTACACGTTTATTTTTGTTTGTCATTTTTAATGGTCTTGGATTGTATTTATGGTGGGATTATGACTTCTCTGACTCATTTGATCTTACTATTTGCTCATACTATGAACATGTTTAGGCTGGCTTATGTTAAAATAAAAAAAAGCTCCAAATGTGTGGCTTATTTGAATGCATGCGAGTCCACATTAAAAATAAGCTACACAGTTGGTTCTTATTTTTCAGTATTAGCCACCCCTAACATGCTCTATAAGCAATTATTGCACTTGGATAGTCGACAAATCTCAGAAATACAAGGGAACAAAAATTAAGGTCTATTAATAAAGCTCGATAATCTCCTTGTAGTCTGAAGCAAAATTTTCCTTATTTTCCTTTTCATGTCTTGTTTGGTAGAAGACGACTGGATAGTCTAGATTACACAATTCATAAGGATGAAAAAGATCCAACCTCGTGTTCTTTATAATGTTGAGTCCAATATTGTGTACTAACAAAGCACCGAATAATATATACGTATGGTATGTGGCATGGGCACCAAAATGCACGATGCTCAAAAAGAAACTTCTCTTCTTGCAGGTATCAGAAGCGGGTTTCCAACATAATTGATGACGTTCTTGAGTGGTCCCCAAGTCTTGCACTGTCGGGGATGATGGAAAAGCAAACAGTGTTTAATGCTACCGATCCTGATAGTAATGTCACTGATGGGAGTAAAACCACTACAGAACAGACGGCTCAACCTGAGGATGTAGAGGGTGATATCATCACGGATGAACATGAAGTCGAACAACCTATTGAAAATTCAGAAGATACAGATCACCAATAATCATTGTTGCCATTATCTGTAATTGTAAAGCATGAAATCTCAATTGGACAACAGGATACAGAAATTTTTGTTTCATTTTGCTTCTTTAACGTCGAATTATGTTTTTACTTCTTTATTTTTAGTTGTCTCGAGAGTATAACTTTGTAATTTATTCTGTATAAGATGGCATTCTTACTAGAAAACTAATTGCAGTGGTTTCTTCTGATACCCTGTCGGTATTAGCTTTAGCCAGGCTCAAAGCTTAACTCGATTGATGCCGGTGTTTGCCAAACTTTATAGAACTGACCCAAAAACCCATCTTCAGTTCAGAAAAGTAATTTGTGGATGAGCCAGAAAACCAGTCTCGTTAACCCCAGTGTAACACTGCTTACTAGTCCTCAAACATTATTCGGCAAGTCAACCACGTGACTTATATAGACTACTAAAATGCATGATAAACGAGACATTTGATTAACAAAAAAGTCTCGCGAAGGATATTGCAATGACTTCGCCCAAACATATATGGAATATTCTAAGTGTACATAATTGACAACGTAATGGTGTTCATAATGTCAAAATGGTACCCCCCTATTGGAGGTGGCGCCTGTGGGCCCAACGCCTCCTCCAATGGGAAGGCACCACCTCGGGATTATGGACACCGTTATAGTGTTCATTATGTACCCCAAGAAGGGTCCAACAAATATTGGTAAAAAACATAGATCTTCGAATCTCATATGGGATTGACACCTGTCCAGTGCGAAAAGGTCAAGTGACCCAATAACTGTGTGGCTGACGACTGAAGTCCCTATAAATGGCAACCGTGACATGGAGATCCTAAAATAGAAAAATTCCTTGTTGGCTAAATTTCAACCTGCACTAATGAAGTGAAAACATGGACACTTTCGGAGGGAAGCTCAGAGAAATAAGCATGTTTTGTGAAGATGTGAAATTCTCCCATTTAATAATGTTTCATGATACCTGTCTGAATTTCATCCACAAAACACACCATGATGTACAAATGTCAATTATCAGAAATAAAAAAATATCATCCAACCACCGAAAGCTAACATTTCATAAAACAATCAGCATCCACACACACACTTTCAAGTCCAGAAAAGGGTGAAGCAGCAGTGAGGGGGGGAATAATGCTAATCCCAAAACCAACTTTACATAGTTCTAACATCTAACTAGAGAAAAAACACTTTTTCCTACTCCAACTTCGTCTGATCCAGTCCTATGTGCATTTTGTACAAGGAAGAACAATGAACTTTAAACAAGATAAAAAAGTTAATTTATCTTCCCTCATCTCTGCAAGCTAAAAGAAACACAGCCAAGAATGAATTGCCGTCCACCTCAGGGAAGCCAAGATTCAAACAAGAAACCAGCATTACATAGCTTTCAGTAACCATAGAAACTCACTGCATGGCAAGTGAGCGATTTGATACAATATTTCTCCACTGCTGATTTGAAGTGCACCCTTCCTCTCTCGCGTCCGACAAGTTAATTTGCTTTCTAACACTGCTGATATCATTATTGCAAGAAAGTTCGGCCTTCAGCACTTTCATTTCGCTAGACTCGGAGGGCAAGGTCTCAGAACTGGTTGAAGTAAGGGACTGTGTTGAGATGGCAGAACCAGAACGCGTCTCCTTTGAGGTGTCTGCATCAGACTTCTTTGCAAAACGTCCTCCTGAACCTCTTGCCCTCCTCAAAGCATGCTGGTGTCGGGACTCGTGAAGATAAGGCTGAAAGTCAACAAAGAGAAACAATTACCAGCAATACAGAGATGGAACTCTACAGAAAGAACTCCAGGATCATGAATCAGCATACATGCTCACATATGTTACTTTTTTTGCTTACTTTTAAGTTAAGGAAAAAAAAAAATCCTTATTCAGAAGTAACTCAGTTTTTTGTCAAAATAAATTACTTATTTCCAACTTTGACAAATAATTTTTTATTTTATTTTAACATAATTATTCATTTATAACTTATAGGTGAACTTCTAAACTTAGCCAAGTATGCTCTTATCTTTGTTGCTTAAGAATTCTATGTCGGCAACAACCCATTAGGGAAACAAAAATGTTTGCATAACCAACCTTTCGAGCTTTTATCAATTTCTTTTCAAGCTCTGCTTTAGCACGTGATTGCCTTCTACGAAGAATCCCATGGTACTGCTTGGCATTCACATACACAGGCTCCTGTGCCATTTCCATTGGCAGCATCATCCTTGTATGATGCACATCATATATAATAGGAACCTGATCAAAAGAACAAACATAATCTTTCATTTTTTTATTTTTTATTTTTATTTTCAGAACATTATGAGATTACACCACATCAAATTAAAATTATTAAATTGAAACAACTTTCCCAAGAATGTTGAAAGATCATATGATAAGAGCTAATGTACTCAAATTTATGGCAACTACAATATTGACTGACTGATCAGAAGTCTTTAGCCTAAAGTAATAAATTGATACAAAAGGTAGCTTTTGGGATATCATAACTATGCCTTCTTATGGTAGCAATTTTGCCGTCCATTAAGAAAAATAAACAATGGAAAATAAAGGCAGTGTGTGAAATTTATTAAATTATCCCAATCCCCTTTTGCTAACCCGATATTGAGCTGCACGCTACCTATTAACACAATAACAAATGTAATCAAATTTTTCAAGTATTACAAATGAGCAAAAATAGAAGAAAAAATAGATTCTTAAAAAAGTTGACTGTGCATGAAACTCCTTACAGGTTAACAACTGAACCAAAATTAAATAGTAACTCCACATTTGGACAGGATCTAACATTTCATTAGCGGGCTCCAGCTAAATTGACAGATGGCTGTTCACTAGCATCAACAGTCACGTCACAGCTTAACTTCTTGATCACATGCAGCCACAATCAATGCACAGCCATGGACCAGCATCAGCCTTCACCAATGACACTTAGTTACTTTATGTCTAGTGCTATAAGTCTTTTGTAGAATATAGAGTGTAGGTTCTCTTCGGTTTTAATAGCATTTGATGTCTACTCACGTAATTTGGCAATTTTGTCTCAAGAATAGTACAAGGGATATTGAGTGCAATTGTTTCTTCACTTTTCACAGAGGATGAGAGTTATGTATTCCATATCATATTCACACCTGTAATCGATACACTTCACTCTAATAAAGTTGAGAATCTACCTATCACATTGCCACCAAAGTCAATCATTCCACGTCATCGACATCATACCGAAATTGATATCACCTATTCTTTTTCATGACTGTCACGTTGACTTAGTTTTGATATTTCCTCTATTACATGATGCTCCCTGGGTTGCGACATTATTTTCCAAGTCCATTATTCAATTGCACACTTTTCCTATTGATATTAGGATGTTGCCCACCAATTATCAGCATACTGTATCAGCTCCTTATTTTGCTATCAATTTTCTGAAATTTCATGCCAAATTAAAACGACAAATTATTTTCGATCATAAAATTTTTGAGCTTACTTTTGAGGTACAACATAAGTGTGGAGACTCTAGTGATATTTATTACGCTTTATTGTGTGTTTCATTCATTCGGTTTCCTACACACGAAAAAAAAAAAAAAAAGATTTTTTATCATACATATAAAGAAAGCGTTATTAATGGGCCATCACATTTGAATGAAAGTTACATTTTCAATGTGGAAGAATTATTTCCTTATCAAGGTACATTCGAGCCTACGATGTTGCCATCATTTTTTTCTACAAGCCAGTCTACAGTACTAGTTCCTTGTGCTTCTCTTTATGCACAGCTAGTTGAAAATTTTGTGGATGAATTGCATAAGTTTTTTATTTTTGGAGTTCCCTATCACAATTTGGTTAGAAGGAGAGATCGTCCTCCTTTGTAAGATCATGACCTTCAAGATGATTTGCAGCTTCAGTTGTCATTAAGTGATCAGTTCAAATATTTGGTTAATAAGAAAGAAAGTCCTCCTTAGTCTGAGTTCAACGAGATGTTGTTGTCCAAGGTTCAATATAAGCATTTGGCCAAGACAAAAGATAACCTCCTTGGAGTACGAAGTTTTAGCCTACCTTGCCGGAGTCGAGTGCTCTCAGTCGGGGAGAAATGATGCAATATTAAAGAGAAATTATGATATTTAGTTTCTAATTTTAATATTTATTCTAGGAAACATAATAAGCGTGTTGATTTCGTTGATTTTAGAATAATTTCTTGTTCAAATTAACACTAGTTTAGACCCTATATAAAGGGGTCTTTTGCGTTGTAATAAATCAACTTTTGATAATGAAATTTCTTCCCGTCTTCTTATCTCTTTTCTCCCTCCTTTCTCTTCTTCTCCCCCTTTCCCTTCTCTTATAGTTCTCCTATATAGTATTTGGCATCAAATTGCCTAGATTTTCTCCCAAGTTTTTACCCCCTCTTTGGCATTATTATTTAGTTTTTCTACGTTTTAATAAATGGAATTTGTTATCATTTACAATAGTCTTCTTTAAAGCTTTCTTTACTCGTTTTAACCCAATTTGTGCAATCAACTTTATAGCAAGCGTGTCTAGAAGTAGTCTAGCGAAGATAACTCCTTCCAACACCAGTGTCCATTTCTGAGCCTCATGTAAGGTGCCCTGTGCTACGATGACGTCTTTTTATATTCCCTCAACCTATAGTACATGCTATGAAGTTCTCCCAAAAAATAAAAAAAAAATAAAAACAAAAAGAAAGCGAAAAGAAAAATAAGGCCAACTGCATTAAACAGGAATGAAAACAAGAAGCTGGGCAACCATAATCCCCACCTATAAGAAAGTACATACTTCCCTTTTCACAATTTAATAATGGAGAAAAGAAAATAAGAAATGAACCGCTGCATTCAAAACAAAAGTTACCACTCATGCACATACCGAAGGCTGGCTGTAAGCTGCCATCATTCCTCCATATGGATCGTAAGGATTCATAGCACAGGCCTGAAAAGGAGCTCAAAAACGTAAAGAAATGTTTTACATGATAAAAACACAAACTTCAATAAAACTATCATGACGTTGGAAGTGAGCTACATATGACATAGTTTTAAGTTCTAATTGAAGCATTCTTACAATTGAGTGCCCAACAAGCTCAGGCTGTGGGGGCTGCTTGTCACCACTCCGGCGTATGGCTGCTGAATCTTGCTGAAAAATCTGATCCACCTGTCCATAATTTCTATCTAGCCTTGAAAAGATGTTGCATTAGTATCAACTTTCATACATGATATAACAAGAAAGAAATTCAACATAATTTTAGCATATAAAACCAATAAAAAGTTTTATTTTAACAAGGACTTCACTTATCTACCAACAAAAACCAACTTCAGCAGACAGCTCTAGTCTGACTCAACCGATAAATGGGACAAGAATGTATGAACTAGAAATATGTCTTGGCAATCAGAGAGAGTTCTGAGAATATTAAAAGAAACATTTCTTCAAAAGAAATTGGCATGTGCCAAAAAGGCACCTGGAGTTTCACATATAGTACCTTCTGATTGTTTGATAACATTGTCTTCTTCATTTATGCCACCCTCAGACTGTGATTGGCTATCCATCGACTGGTCCATTGATGACAAATCTGAATAATTGTGTCGCATTATTGACGTGTTGAAGCTTCCAGTGATATTGCACCATGGTTGAGCATGTACCAAAGATTCTGAAACATTGTAAAGATGGGAATCGCCTTGAGTGACGCTCGGAGTCTTGGATTGCATGCTCTTAGTTTCTCCAGTAGACTTACGATGGAAGAATTCACGTCCTTACAGGAAGCATTGACAAAATAATGCCCGACCAGCCCTGGGGGAAAAATAAATTTGATTGTGAAGCTTAGGTTTTTCACAAGTCAAATCATACAATCTTATTCTTCAGATTTTTGGCTTTCCATCAAAAGCTCTTCTGAGAAATAACCTATTCAATGTTGCTCATGCAAAAGAAATTAACGCTTAACTTTGCTTTTGAATTTCCATTGCTACATTTGCAAAAACACATTTCCACTACTTCCAGATACAGAATTCCTAAATTAATTTGCACTTGTTTCCAATTTAAATTAACCCAAAACATGCTTATAAGTTCAATGTTCTGCTTTTCACACTTCATAATCCAGATACCAAATAGGTATAAATGTCAACTAAATCAAGAAACTACTGAGCAAGATTTTGAGAGAGAAAAATTGGATTACTGATTCATCATACATATTCAAGAGACGAGATTGTAAATACTGTGCTTTTCTATCTCCCACCCGTAAATACTACATTTTCATCTGCCACCGCCAAAAAGTGTTTTTTGTTTTTACAGTGCAGAAAATCCTTTTGACAATTACTTCACTGTTCCGACAGTAATTATTTAAAGAATCAAATGAAACCTAGTATTTTTAGTCACAATTAAAGCTACGCGTCTTCAATAGTCAAAATTACAATAATCGAAGATCACCCTCACGAAAAATCACCAAAATTACACGAAAAGACAAAGAACTTCAAGAACCAATCGAACCAGTTTTGCTAACAATAACAGTATCAGTAACTAAATATGCATCACATTCAAAACCAAAGCACGAAATCAAAATCCCAAAATCCTGTACACGCATATACACAGAAATAGGATTCCTGCAGTTGGATATATGAAGAATCCCAGCAAATAGATAAAAAATTTACCAATTAAAATGATGAACAGCGACGATTACAGAAAACCCAGATATTTTGGAGGGCTACAAATTTTTTTGGAAGAGAATTTACAGCAGTTTATATGTACTTTGATATTGGAGCGGAATATACGGTGAATAAAATATAAAAATACTTCGTAGAGTATCTGTGCTGATTGAGTCACCTGAAGAAGAATCTAGAAGGGTGGGTGTACTTATTGCACAACACTTTTATTTTTGGGTTAATTTCACAAACGGTCACTGAACTTACAGAAAAATTACAAAACGGTCACTGAAGTCTAAAACTTTCAGTAACGATTACTTAAGTATTGGGACGCATTCAAAAACGGTTACTGAAGTTTAAAAAGTTTCTAAAATGGTCACTGAAATTGAAAAACACTTTATTAAATTTTTTAGTTACATTTGCAGCAATTTTTTGGTTACTTTCAACTACCGATACCATCGAATTTTGATACCGTTGGAAAACCCACAATGTTCTCTTCAATTAACACTCAAAATCTCTCCGTAACACCAAGGAATTCGACCGGAAAATCACCACAAAAGTCGCCCCAAAAAATCTGAAAATCTACCCAGATTTTCAAATTTTTGGACGACTTTTACTGCAATTTTCCAGCGACTTTCGACCAGCAAGACCACCTGATTTTGATATCGTTGGAAAGCCCATAATGTCCTCTTCAATTATCATCCAAAATCTCCCCCAAACTCCAAATGATTCAGCTGGAATAAACCCGTAAAGTCGTCATCCCAAAAAGGCGAAAATCTGGGATGTCAACTTTGTGAGTTTATTCCGACCGAATCTTTTGGAGTTTTTGGGAGATTTTGGATGCTAATTAAAGAGGACATTGTGAGCTTTCCAACAGTATCAAAATTTGGCTATTTTGGTGATCGGAAGTTATCAAAAAATCGCCGCAAAAATCCACCAAAAATCTGAAAATTTGGGTAGATTTTTGCCTTTTCAGGTAGCCAACTTTGTGGGTTTATTCCGGCCGAATCCTTTGGAGTTTGGGGGAGATTTTTTGTTGTAATTGAAGAGGACATTGTAAACTTTCCAACGGTATCAAAATCCGGTGGTATCAGTGGTCAGAAGTGGTCGAAAAATTGTCGTAAAAGTAGCTCAAAAATTTTTAAATTTCAGTGACCATTTTTTAAAGCGTCTCAATACTTAAGTGACCGTTATTGAAAGTTTTAAACTTCAGTGATCGTTTTGTAATTTTTCTGTAAGTTCAGTGACCGTTTGTGAAATTAACCCTTTTATTTTTTCATATACAATATTTTTATTATTATTTTTTTTTTAATGTTTTCTCGACTCAACACACAAGTCATGACTCTCACTGCTCTTGTCATTATAATGGGAATCACTTTTATTTTATTTTTATTTGAATACTAAGATTTAAATCAGGATTTCGACTAGATATTTTAATTGATCTTATTCGAATACTCAACACACATAGTTATTTAAGTTTAAGAGTTTTTTTGGTATAGCTTAAAAGTCAATGAAAATCAAAATTTTGACCGTTATTTAACTATTTCAGTCGTCATTTTTGAATTATTCCCTCATAAGTAGGATGCACTTTATTTTTAACGATCAAAAAATTAATTATTAAAATCCCTACTAAACAAGTACTAAATATAAATATAAAGAGGGTGTTTGAAGGGTGATGCTTCAAGATTTTTTTATTTTTTTTTAAATGCATTATTCAACTCAACAATGCTCTCAATTTGCTTGTTATTACGGGGATCACTTCTTTTTTTTTTTTTTTTTTTTTTTCCTTCTCCCGACTATTGAGATGTTTGATCACAGAAAAAGGAGACATGATTTCTATGAGTTATTTTGACTAATCTTATTGAAATAAGTGTAGTTTTTTTTTTTTTAGTTTAACGGAGTCTTCTCAACTAAAATTTTAATGGATTTTGAAAGATTGTAAATCAATTTCGTGAATTTGAACAGATTTTTTAATTTTTTATAAGAGTCTCATCAAATATGATAAAATTTCAAAGGATTTGATTATATTACTCTTATGCTTGAAATATATCTAAATCATTTAAAATCTATCTATTTATGAAATATTTATAAATTCACTATTTATCGAGGAAATCTAAATTATAAAGGATTTCATTGATTTTTCAATTCAATTGAGAACGCCCCTTAAATAAAAAGGGGTTGTGCTTAGTGTACATAATTTATGCATATAGGGTATCCATACCCTTCACGAGGCTTTTCCAATAAAAAGAGTAAAATAGTGTTTAAAGGACAAAGACAAATTTTTTTAAAATTCTATTATATATTGTTGTCGATATTCATCTCCTGCAAGTGTACGGATCGTAACAAGTAATAAAGTAGATCGAGGAGTCCAAATGTCATTCTCACGAGAATTACTATTTAACAATTGGTTCAATCATTCCTAACTTTAATTTGATCGAAAAAAATAATAAGTTTTGTGATTGGTGTTTAAATTGTTATAACTAAACTATCTAACTTACACAACTTATCGAATTTGGGTTTTAAAAGTATGAATATGGATGCTAGGACTTATAATTTTACGTATGATCCTCTTTAATTCGCCAATCAAGATTCATTATAATGGTCGTGTTCGATCGAATTATTCTAAAGTATTCAATTTACCACATCTCGAGTTCTCATTGAGCTTATTTAATTTAATCACATATCTCTATAGGTTAGTTAAGGAAATATTAGTTCTAATAATTCATCTAGCGATCGCAATAATTAATATAGGTATTTCTACACGTAATACTAAATTATCAAATTTTATTGCATGGTCTAAATTTATAAATCACCTCGAATAAAATTAACACATGTACATTTAAAAAAACTTGAATCTTAAATAAAAGAAATAAAGGGTCATACATAGATTACATTGTTCGCTATAACTATGAATTAAGCTATTCCTAATAGTGAAAGAAAAACACAGAGTATAGAATTCATTATCGGGTTTTAATCATGGAAATAATTTGATCTTACACCAAGATCTTTTTCAACTTCAAAAGTCTTCAAATCCTAACTTTTGCTCTTTTATCTTGGTGATTACGTATTTTTCTCTCCCCCAAATTTTGTGTAACTCCATCAAAAGTGTCAAAAATGTGCCCCTAGATACACCTAGATAGCGCCGCAATACCAAAGGAGTGGCGCCGCAGCATAGCGACTCTATATTGGTGGCGCCTTGGCGCCATGATGTGGCACCACTTTTCACGCGAAAGTTTGTTTGCACTTTGTTTAGTATTTTTATCATAATTTTCTTTTTCAATATTTGATTGAGGAGATTTAAATTGGGTTGTAAAGATAATTCAAAAGGCTACAACTTTACTTGAAATAGCCTTTTTCCAATTCGAATGTTTACTAAGTCAAAAATGGGTTTTAATTTTGAGTTAACACTCTGGAACATACTTTTGTGGTTGAAATCGATTCGTGCCCATGTTTCACGCCCTGTTGACTTATAATTGTGAGATTCGACACAACTTTTGTGCATTTATTCTTTAGTCACCAAACTTTGGACTTTGCCACTCTTTTCGCTAATTTTTGTTCGTTCGTTTCAATTCCACTTCCATTTATTGAGTTTCACTTAATAAACAAAATATAAAATAAATTAGACTATAATTATTGAAAATAATTATTAAATGCCTATATTTTTTGCTCCAAATAAATATATAAAATACACATATCATATCTCTTTACAGTGTAGCTTAAAAAATTATTAAAAATGTCATCATTAATTTTAGTCACATATTTAATGAAATTCACAATCTTTATTAATTTTAACCATACATTTCATAAAAATTATTAAAATTTACAAAAATCTAATTGGTAATTTGACCAAACCAAGTAGAGACTGTAAAAATTGGACCCGTTACTCAATTTTCATTATTTTCTAGAATTTTAACCAAGTAATTTTACTTTTATTATTATTTATTAATTTTTTTTAAAAAAAATTAATATAATTTTAATCGCAAATGGCATTAAGGAAATTGCTTGTTTTTTATTTTTATTTTCGATTATTTTTATGCATTGCACTTTTAACGGAAAAAAATAGACAATATATACCTTTAAAGATCCGTGTTCTAAAATCAGGTAGAAAATTTCACATTTCACAAATTAGATAATTAATATTTAAATATTAAATATACAATTTTCATCACAAACTCTAATCAATTTCCCCCCCTCTCTCTCTCTATATCTCGCTCTCACCCCTCTCTCTCTCGTCTCCTTCTCTGAGCTGCATTGGGAGCTACAATGTCGCCATCAGAGCTTCTCTTCATCTATCGATCGGAGCTATAGCGGTGATGACCCACAATTGGGAGCGTCGTGTGGAATAGAGCTTCTCTTCACCGAAGCTGCAACGGATTTACAACGGATTTAATCTAATTTTTGCAAAAGATCGTTGACAGTGGTAGGTTTTTGCGCATATCTGACCTGATTTTTTAGCATGGTCGTCAGTAGTGGTTAGTTTTGCACAGATCTGATTGGTAGCAATTGTTTTTTCCAAAATGATGGTGTTGGTGAGGAGGTTGTGGTGAGGTAGTGATGTTTGATCATGGTGAGGTGGTGGTGGTGGCGGCGACGATGGGGTTGGTGAGGAGATGGTGGTGAGTTGATTGTGGTGGTCGTCGTTTAATCCCTGGTTGTTGTGGTGGTGATGGTGGTTGTCGCTGTGGCCTCGAATTGGGACATGGTCATTAGTTATCGGGGTTAAAATTGTAACAAAAAAATAATATATGACTTAAATAATTATTAATTTGTAACAGTATTTTGATAGTTTGTGACTATCTAATAAGTTGTGATTTATGACCAATAAATAAATTGTGAAGTAATAAGTTGTAACTTATAATACTTGTAACTTACGACCAATAAATAAATTGTGACATATAAATTTTTGATTTGTAATTGATGAATAAAATTTTTGAATTGTAATCGTATAATAATTTGTGGCATAAAAATTTTTATTTGTAACCAGATTATATAGATATGTAACTTTAATATATTTAATTAATAAAATATATAATTAATTAATCAAATTATCTAGATCCGTGACTTTAATATATTTAATTTATAAAATATATAATTAATTAATTAAATCATAAATAAATTATAATAAATACCCAATTTTTGAAATTTGAAACCTTTATTCTAACTTTGAAACAGGTGATACTTTTA